CCCGCGATGCTGGGCCCAACCGACACGATAAATTGTTCTACTGTTGTTCGCCGATCGCATTAACAACGACCACCATAAACTCGTTTTCCCTCTGTAGCCGGACCTTTTCAATCTACGTATGCTCGTCTCAAATACGCCAGGCAATTTCTTGCGCGAGGAATGGCGACCATGCGCAAGAATTTTTCTTATGCTGTGCCGCAATCTATGCCCGTGCAAGTGGGTCAAATCCATTGAGCAGTTCACGAAACGAATGGTGATCGAACGGAGTACTAACTGCTGTAGCAATGTGGAAGCTGTCCCGTCCATGCAACCCCACCGGAGAAGGTTTAGCGTGGGATTGGCCTAGTGGCGGATAAATCAAAGCTTGATTATTTCTAGCCACTAGACGGTACGAGGGATCCACTTTCCGTGCCGAGTGGCTCCACCGGGAGCAGTCCAATCAGTTCACTGCGGTGCATCCGTTACGGCGTACCATGCTCCTACGTGTGATCCTGTAGAAGGTAGAATAATCGCAAGACGACTGGTTCCATCTGTCTGAAAAATCGTATATATCAAGCGGTTGGGGATCGCCGACCATTCAAGTCACTTCACCAGAACCTCGCAGCACTGCTTGCCGTACTGTGAAGGAGGATCACTGTAAGTTGGGAACATGATCACTGCGAGATACGTGTACGAAATGCTCTAATCAGGCTGGAGAGATGGCAGATAGACGGTACCAAACACTCGGTTCCAAGCTGGCATGGCACACGGCATCTCGTATTTAACAGTGCATCCAGTCATTGGATGGGATGCAATCTTGAGGTCCCGGTTATGCACGCGCATGCAGGATTCATCTTGGCCAACAGAATCCATTCAGGTGATACTGTGTACGTATGAGTAAAAGGTCTTAATCACTGGCCATGAGCTTCGAAACAGCCAACGTGGACCAGTTCCTGTGTACTTACCACTACCAAAGATGGACAACAATGTGGCCGAATCCAGTGTTCTCCCATGGGACACATCTGTGGGAAATCGTTTCGCTCACTATTCTCCTGAGAACCACAGTGCGACAGTGTGGATTGCGGCGGCTTTGGCATTGACCTATGTAGTAGGTGTGTTGTTGATTCGAGTCTTCATCAAGTGGAGAGTGTTCGGGTGGGACGACAGCCTCATTGTCATCAGTACGGTACGTTTCTTACGCAAGATCCTAGGTGGCACCACTGACTGGCCTAGGCGCTTGCGTTTGTACAGAGCATCGTTGTGTTCAGTGCGCTCAAGAATGGCCTCGGCAAGGTGTCAGAAGATTCTGACAACCTTCAGTTGGCTGGAAGGGTGAGTTCAAGCCAAGTAGCTTGCCTACAGCAGGTGCTGATAGATTACAGCTTGCATTTTCGTCTCGTGCGCTCTTTGTAGCTTCGCATTACTTAGCAAAGCTGTCAGTCCTGTTCCTCCTACGAAGGTTGTTCGTTCGGGACCAGAAGAACACCGCTCTGCTCTGCGACATCACAATCGCCCTAACCACGCTGAGTGGTATTGTTTCAGTACTCGTCAGCACCATACGATGTCCTTCGTCATTGTTCCTTACCAAGCACTGCCATGGCCAGGTACACTTTCTCCTGATGGTGATGAATGAATTTTGCTGAGAGTGTGCCAGATCGCTCGTTGGAGCCTAGTTACCGCACTAGATGTTACCAGTGAAGGCTTGACCCTGATTTTGCCCTCATACATGGTGTGGCAGGTCCAAATGAAAGTAGAGACAAAGCTTCGTGTCATCGCAGCGTTCTGCTTTCGACTCGTGTACGTTCCATGCAACTTAACTCCTTGGGATACAACTAACGAGCCATAGTGTCATTGCTCTATCAGCTGTTCATCTCGATCTGTGGATCAGCTACTCGAATGGCCAGCCGTCATCACTCGCTGTTGTACCGACTTTCATCTTGCAACAAACGCTCATGGCCACTTCTCTCATTTCTGCGACGATCCCGAATTTGAAAGCATTTCTGCAATCACTATCTGCCAGTTGGGGCGAAGCAGAATTCAGCAGCGGCTACACAACGAAGGCCTACGGCAATGGGACATTCGAGATGAACAACCTGAACTCTCACGCACCCCCAGCTTCTCGAACAGGTATGGGAGATTTGTATTCCGCAAAAAGCCACCCAGACTTTGAGACACAAGTCACAACTTCGCAACGGATTGCTGGCGAACGGAGTTCGCTTGGAAGTGGCGAGAGTCAGGATCTGATCATCCGCAAAGAGACCGCTTGGACCGTGGAGCGGATTTGAGTGAACGAAGAGTTGGAAGACGTTCTGACAAAGCACCCTGGAAACGATCAACAGAGCCCACAAGAAACATCCTATCGCTGAAAAACCTCCGATCAGATTTGTATTGATTGATGCAGGTCCCGCGCCGCAACCATAAAAAGTATAGAAAATGATAAGGGTATAAAACTTCTTTCCTATGGAAAATTATGCATGGAATCCTTCGTCTGGCTTTGGGAGTTAGCATAGAGTTTTAACCGCTGCGACGCTTGCTCGGGTTGTGGGGCGTGCCCGAGAGGACGTGCGCGTCGCCCGCCATCAGGCCACATCTCCCCGTACAGCCCAACCGCGCCGCACGCGTAAACGGCTCAGCCAACCAAGCATTGCCTATGTACGGACTGAACACCGAGATCGCATCTCGCTTGATCCCGCTCGAAGGTTACGTTCTTGGCACGCTCCTGCGTGAGGTTGAAAGGCTTGTTGTACAGGGTCTCCTGTAATTCTCCGTCTATCACCTGTATCTCGAAATCTCTGAGCGATCGTGGATTCTCTGCGTAAAATATATCACCATGAGCGCTACTTCAAAGACAGATTTAGCTGCGACTCACGACAAGGCGACAGCAACTTACAAACTTCGTGAAGCGCAGCTATCAGATCTGAGCCAGATAGCTCGGGTTTGGCACAAAGCCTTCTTTGACGATGAGATCATTGGCGAGATCATGCACCCCCATCGCCAACAATACCCTGAGGACGTGTACTGGTTTCTGCTCAGAGGCGTCCGAGAGCGATTTTGGGATTGGAGACATCAATTCATGGTAGTTGTGACCACAGAAGAGAAGAATATGGAGACCATTGTTGGTGCTGCGGATTGGAGGAGGCTCGGTGATGGAGGGGCTCAGAGAGAGCTGCTGAAGTTGGATCCGCGTGAGTTGACTGCATACATCTGTCATTGGACCGCAGGCTCATACTGTCCAGGAAATCTGATAACACCAGCCATCCATTCGTACCACGCTGTAATGGGCCGTATCTTCCCAAACCGCGCCGCCGATCCTTCGCGATCGTCCTTCCTCGACGCAGCTGTCGCCGCCTCGGAAGTGTATTGGACTGGTGATCGCACCGAGTGTTGGGACTTGCATGTATGTGGAGTTGACCCGGACTATCAAGGCAAGGGAGTAGGCAAGCTACTAGCGCAATGGGGTGTACAAGAGGCGCAGAAAGAGGGCTCGGGCACATGCGCGAGTGTGCTCTGCGGCGAGAAAAACCGTGGTTTCTACGGCAAGGCTGGCCTTACGGTTCAGGTGGGCGGGCGAGAAGGCGAAGGAGGCGGCATTGCGCTGTTTACTAGGTAAACCTCACTACATGTGTCGATGGGTACAGGCAATGGATAGTACAGTACTGGGTCATAAGTTTTGCAGTGCTGGCCCGTGCCCTGCCCTAACGCCGTGCCGGCCACTCACTTTTTGAGGCAATTGAGATAGCTACATATGGTGAAATCAATCAAATTTCTGGTGTTGTACTTGTTTTATACTAGTATTTTGTATGCCACCCACAGGCAGCCCTGCAAGCACTCATACGCTGAGGCATTGAGCTAATAAGCTGAGTGATAAGCCTATTTGGTATAGCTTGCCAGTGTTGAAGTCGTGTGTCACGGTATCCTCTCCAGATCCCCTGACAATATCCGGATCCGCTCCGTACTGTCCCTGACCGTACGCACCAAATCCCCAGCGTCATTACGCGCCTCCGAAGCGGACGTACAACCTCCGGTCACCTCCGGAGCAGGCCTGCAACCCCTGAAGCGGGAGTATTAGAATTCTGCAAGCCCTGCTCTGGGACTTGCAACCCCGATACCTATCCAACTCAGTTCCGATTATTAACCAGTAACCGAATGAATCCACATGTAAGTATATAGACTATTGCTGGTAGAGTTCTGTTCGGTACACAACGTCTTGTACCTACTTAGATACCGTACGTAGTAATTGATTTAGACTCCCAGCGAGTCCTAAAGGGCCTACTCGTAGCATCTTCGTGACACGGCGCTTGCTTGGGTGCAGCGCTCGCTTGTGAAACACGTTAGCTCTTTAGTAATTAACTTTGTAAACACCTTTAGATACTTTTAGCTTACCCTTCACTATAAGTTACCTTATTAGGTCTTAGACTAATCACCTTAGCCCTTAGAGACCTAATCTGTTCAGCACACCTAGTACTACAACTTAGACCTACGATATCTAATCTACAGCATCAATCCCCAACTTTTATTATCAGACCCTACTGTTGGATAGCTAACTGTAACACTAAGAGAGTCGTTAAGGAGGTTAGGGGACAGTAGTTTCACAATAGTCAAAGCAGTTTATAAGCTTAATGAATCAAATAAAAGTTGCAAGTTTATTTGCTAAACATCAAATCGGAAATCAGTGGCTGCTTGTTGCAAACAAGTGAGTTCCGTGTTCTCTAGCCCAAACTGTCAGCGCAGGCAGCGCTCTCATAGGCCAGCTCGTTCGGGTTAGCTCCCGCTCCCGCGCACTGTAGATATTCGTGCTCTCTCATAGTACTCAATCGACAGTTCACATTATTACACTCATCAGCTACGTACAGGGCTCAAAGACGGAATATGGGTCTGGTGTCGGATTGTTGGATGCTGCAGCCCAGAATGACCAGGAGCTCATATAGATGTCTATAAACTACCATCTGGGACTATTTGTGAGTAGTGCCTGTCAACCACACTGTAGACATACAGTTGCTGATCTTCACAATCCATCGAGGGTTTTCTTGCTGGCTCAGACTCCCCGCACATTTCTCCCAATCTCGGACTCTAGGATCAGGTGTTTGCATTTCAATATGTTCAAAATTACATTCACCTCTTTGGCAGAGACAACAATGCGGTGACTGTTATGGGAGAGTCAGCGGGAGCAGGATCCATTCTTTACCATCTTACCTCACCTGGGGTTTCATCTCTTTCGCTATCTAAAAAGACCATCGTGCAGAGCCCATATATCTACTACATTTCAAAGTTTCAGCAGGAAGAAACATTCCGCCAGGTCTTACAAGCCTCGAATGTGTCTTCGTTGGTTGAACTTCAAACTCTGCCCACTGAGAACCTGCAGACTGCCAATGGCATTGTTGTGGGTAACTCTCGGCCTTGCGGCACCTTTGGGTTTGGTAAGTATTATGGAATACTTCCTTCGAGACTTTAAAGTTGACGAATTCATCACAATAGGCCCTGTATTAGATGATGATCGCTACACGGAATATCCTCCCTTTCTTTTGCATCAACGACAATTTGATCACTCGATACAAGTGATGGGAGGCCACAACTCGAACGAAGGCCTCTTGTTTGCGTCCCCTGTCATCCACAACAAAAGCCAATTCGACTTGAATATCGCCCTCCTGTTTCCTCAAGCATTCGGGTCTGCGCTGTCGGCCATCGAGCAAACGCTGTACCCAGCCATCTTTGATAGATCATTTGGCTACGTGAACCAACTGGGCCGCATAGCCCGCGTAATTGCAGTCGCCCCCATTACCTGCAACAACTATTTCATAGACAAGGTATTTGGACCCCTCAATGCCAGCTTCGCTTATCAATTTTCTGTACCGCCGGCATGGCACGCCAATGACCTGGGATAAACGTTCATGGACCCTAGCAACCCGGGTTCAGGGGTGAACGCCACTTTGGCCGTCATCATGCAGCATTACTTTGCAAGCTTTGTTACTTCAGGATCGCCTAATCCAGTCATTGGAGGTTTCCTTCCTGAGTTCACGTCCGACGAGGGGTTGACTGTGCAAAATCTCAATAGCACCTTGGTTGGGCCTATTCTAGATGCTGCTGTCAATGCTTCGAACTGCGATTGATGGCAGGAGGGAAACTTTATCTAGGCCTTTTGTAGCTTCGCAGGATATCTTGGTATAAATTTTGTCATCTTGTAGATCAACCATATGACTTTGAAGGCTCGGTTAGATTTAGTAATCCCCGTGACTGCTGAGGAAACCTCAACTTAGTAGTCATATGTATAACGTAAAGTTGTTCCACCTTGTCAAACTAGGTTGAAATTGAAGCAAAGCTCTGAACAGATATTGTTCTCTTATTTTGCATGAACAACTCATTCACTTACCCCAATTTTCACTATGTTGCCATGTTCCACCAGGTGTGACCAACAGTTGTTGCAATTTTTTTCTCTTAAAAACACTGGTAACCAAGTTCTTCCTGCCGGCCTTTTGCCTGCTTTCCGGACAATCTTATTTGACTTCCGTGTGAATTACTACACGCGCCTCTTCAATCTCACCATAAGAGGGGGTTTCTCCCAGAGAGTTGGCATCCTCGGATCGCAATGCTAGTCAACATTGTCATCAACTGGCTCCATGTCATTCCGGTAAATGATCTTCGCCATGATGGTATGAAGCTCCATCCAGCCAAGACTATGGACGTCAGCACTCGATCATACAATGAGCACATAGAAGGGCCATACCTTCGTCCCATGCAGGACCGTGTTCCGTATGAAAACGGCTGGCTTGCGTCGAGATCATTGGTAAGGTTCTCACCAATCCATCTCTCCGGCTTAAATTCCCAGGGCTCACTGAAGTTGGCCGTCGACATGCTTGCCGCGAAAGTGCTTGTCGAAACAACGGTCTGTAGGTTTGCGTTAGATAAAGAACTTTAATCGCCCGCAGGTAAACGTACTCCAGACATAAGAAAATGGCTGCATCCACCCTGAGGAACAACGTGAGGAAGCGCAAAAGGAAGAGGAGGGTACACGCGCATGGCCTCTTGTGCAACAGGCTTGAGGTACTTGAGAGGAACCGCGGTGGCTGCATCGATATCCTCGTATCGAGTAAACTATGACCGTACCTCATCCTGCAGCTGCGCCAAGATGGAAGGATTTTTCAGCAGGTAGTAAGTCATGCAAGAAAGTGTTGTGGCTGTTGTTTCACTGCCGGCAATACTTGGATCTTTCTGTTAGAATCGCGGACGGCGTTACAAGGGTTTGTAAGACGTACATAAAATCGGAAGAGTGAGCGGCAATCTGAGAGTCTGAGATGGATCCCTCTTTCGCGTGCTTTGATCATCTTAGTGAGGAAGTCTTCGCGGTCTGAAAGAGTGGCTAATCGACTAGTTCAAAGTCAGACAGTGTGACAAGTAAAGTGCATACCTACAGAGATCAAAGACTTACCTCTGCAACAAATCCATGCTGTACTTCTGATGCTTACAATTCTCCGTCATCAACTTGTTGATAAATTGTGAAAGATCTTCTGCACAACAACTGACACTGCTGGAAATCTGCGGAAGCAATCGGCGAGCGCACCCAAATGCAGGCTTTTCATCACAATGGCAACCCAGAAATGCTCCTTTCCCGCTTCAACGCCACCGAAATCCTTTCCGAACGCATGACTGCCGATGATGTCAAAGGTGACTAGATTGAACCACATAACCAAATTCGTACCGTGTGCGCTATGGCCCGCTTCCTCGAGCTTGTCAATAAGCCTGTCCACAAACTCTGCGATGAGAGGCTCCTGAGACTTGAAAAAGCGCTGCTGAGATAACGGCGCATCTCGGCATGCTTCCTGGGATCACGCTCGCTCACGGTGGAGAGCGACTCTGCGGCAAAGTCGCCTCCGTAGAACTCACTTTTGACGAAAGGCTCCACGCCCTTGCGGGGGCCGTAGATATCATGTCATGAGGAAGATTGATGAGGGGGTATGTTCTGATATGAGCGTTATTGTATTGGTGCTATCAGAGCAGGCGGATATCTACAGTGCGCTAGTGCGGGAGCTAATCAAACGAGCTGACTAATGAGAGCGCTGCCTGCGCGGACAAAGATGAACTGAAGCTTAGTTGGTTGGGTGCGACACGAACATCAGGTTCTGCTAATGATGAGGCAAGCTCTGTAAAGGACGATAAGAAGTTTAATTACCGTAATTTTCATGAAATTCAAGTTGCCGATAAGGCTGTCTGCCTGTCATAAAATTCCACGAGTACAGAACCTATGCCACTTTTGTCAAAAGACATTTCTTTCAAGGTCGTGCATCAGTTAATGTGGATGGTGAAGGACTTGCATTGCTGAACGAGGCTGAAATCGGGCCCGTGAATTTCCTCAAGGGATGAAACCACCAAAGCGCGAGTTTGTACAGCAGCCCAAGGGCTAGCACCTGGGTTAAGTCAACATCTCATATCGCAGCCAAAAGGGTTATGATTGGGAAACTTACCAGAACAACAATTTAGAGTTTCATTTCAATATATGGATGCCTTAGATTGTTACTGAGAAATTTCCAAAAACGCCACGACATGCACATAGATTTGATTTTTTTCGTTTCATGTTGGTTCAACCGGATTTAACCCATCATGGTAGTTCGGACAGTTCCCTAGTCGGTACAGGCCGAAGCCCCACTTCCAACCCGTGCCTCGTGGGTGTCCTCTTGACGATTCGATTGCGACAGCGTTGTTGGATCTCTCGTGCGACCGGTAAGAAATAGTCACTCTCAGCGTCTAAAACCCAACCGCTCATTGACGGCTGAGGGGATTGCATCGTCAAAACGTCTCCTAAGCAGCATCTGAAAGCTGCGTTCCGACTCTATCATGCCGTCCGCAACCATGCCGCCCGAGGTGGATATTAAAGTCACGACGACAGAGCGCGTGTTTCCTCAAACGCCAACGCAGCATGAACAGGCAGTTCCTCTGTCGCTGCTGGACGCGACCACCGCTAAATTTGCTCTCACAAACGCTGTATGGCTCTTCGAGCCCCTCAATGAGAAGGATGTGCTGGACGTCGCCGAGCACCTTCGCCAAACACTCAGCACTGCGCTTACTTCGTATCCTCAATGGGCCGGCCAGCTGAAGTCCATCACTGTTGTTGACGATGCGTCGGTTCCCGTTGAAGCCAAAGAATTCCCAGCCCACGCCCGTCGCTTCGGCCGCGTGTACACGCACTTCGGGGCCTCCGCAGACGTCGGCGTGGAGTTCATCTCAGCAACAAGCTCTGCCACCACGGAGTCACTCTACCAAACAGAGCGCATCGAGACGCAACCACTTTGGGACCGCAAAGACGACAATCTCGGTAAATTTGTGCCTTCTGTCGACATTGCGCAGGCTCTACAACCCAACGAGCCTGATGCCGCGACGGGATTGCGCAAGCCGATCATGGCTATCCAATGCACCACGTTGTCAGATGGTGGCTTTGTCCTCGCTGTCAAGACAGCGCATCCTCTCGCGGACATCGCGGGCCTCATCCGCTTCATCAAGGACTGGGCGAGTGTGAGCAGTGCCGTCATCAAGGGCTTGACAGCCCCAGTCCTGACTCCCGAATTTAAGCCGGCGCGGTTGGACAATCTTGCTGCGGGAGACATCAACGCCGAGGAGCCGGACCCGGCCATCATCAGACGAACGGAACGTTTGCCCTTGCACAGGTATGATTGGTGGGCTGCGCCGGGGAAGCCTCCCGCACCATTCCTCGATGCGGCCAAACTGGTGCCCCCGGCAGGCAAGCCTATGCCATGGGTTGAGTGGGATCTTGAGGCGCCTGTTTCTGACTATACCATTCATCTAAACACAATGCAGGTCGATCTCCTCTTGAATGAAGCTACGAAGGGTACTGACGGTGATGGCCCAAGAATCAGCAAACATGATGCCGTGTTGGCACACGTTTGGACCTGCATTGTGCGTGCACGTCAACTTGGGAAGGATGACGGTCCTGTCCATTGTGATCTTGTGCTTGGCGTTCGATATGCTTTTAAGCTGGGTGAGAACTTTATGGGTTCTCCGATCATCATGATGAATGTTGAGCTGCCAGGCTCTGAGATTGGCTACAAACAATCAAGTAACGCCACCTCGGCGATGGTTCCCATCGCTCGAAAAATTCGGCATATAATCTCCACTGTCAGCGACCCGGCAAATCTCGCAGATCATCTTCATAGCGCGGCGTATGAGAAGTCCCCTCAGCGAATATGGCAAGCATTCCTTGGCCGGCGTCATATCCTGGTGACGACCTGGGCGCGTGCCGGCATCTACGATGTCGACTTCGGTCTTGGCTCGCGAATACGATACGCGGACGGCGTCGTGCCGAACCTGGACGGCAACATTCTCATCAAAGAAGCACCTCCATCTTCTGGAGAATTCTTGTCTGGATCTCGGCCGTCTTGGACCGACAGCGGGGTGGATATCTCTGTTCATATTTGCGCTGAGGATATGGAGCGGTTGCTGATGGATCCTTTGTTACTGCCGCGCCTTAATTAGACATCTCCAGATCTTTTTAGCCCATCAATATGTCATTATAGACTAAATACGCAAGACATGATTGTGTTGTCTGGCATTTGGATCTTTTATCTCAGACATATAACGTGAGCCACGGGCATAGCGGCCACACGGGCAAAGCAGCCACCCCAATGAATCTTTGGGCCTTTTGCATGTAATTCACTCAACAACACAACAATGTGCTGCAATGTGCAATATGTCAAATTAAATGCTACTCTCAATCACATCTTTTTTGCACGTGCACAAATTGTGTCCTATTTCTCTACAACGCTTGCAGTGCCTTTTGTGCTGCTTGCCTGTACCTGTCCGGGCCCTACTTTCATGCATCTCCCCCTCAACATGTGCCCTAACATCTAATTGGGCTGTCAAATCCTCTGCCTCTTCCTTTGATAGGTGTCTGCCTATCTGAATCCGCTTTCTAACTACTAGTCAATATCTGTATAAACCCTATACAATTTTACCCAGCGCTAGCAGGACCCCTGCGCCTGACCCTTTACAATTTACAACTGCGACAATCTGTATAGACCCCAAGCAAGTCTCAGATATGGCTGCAAGTCTGCAGCAAGGTGCAACACAACTCTGCGCACATTTTTCACTCTTCACAATTGCTGTGCGACAGTGGCGTTGTGTGAGAGGGGGCCAGTGTAATGGGCTAGGCCCATTGTTAGCGCCTCGGCAACAGCACAGGCCTCGGTACCTCCGAAGCGGACGTACAATCTCCGGAGCGGGCCTGCAACCTCCGAAGCGGGAGTATTAGAATTCTGCAAGTACCGCTCTGGGACTTGCCCCTTATCAAATCCATCAAGTTCTACATCGCATATTGCCCTCAGCGGCTCGCCCCTTACAGCCAGCTAGGGATACCAACTGCTCTCTGAGATGGAAGGATTGGTAGAAAGATGGTTCAGGCTTGTTGGAGATAAGGGTGTAGAGGAGACCAAGTGTAGGGATACCACAAGTGGTAAAAAGGATAAGTGATAAAGAAGGGATCAAGTGTAGGGATACCACATAGGATCAGTAAGGAGTGAGTTGAGGAAAGAATTGAAAGATGAATTGAATTGAGTGGATTGAGTTTTGAATTGCAAGCATGAGTGAGAACTATCTAGAGGTGGGAAGAAGGGGGTTCATATACCTAGATGGGTGGCAAGCTGACAAATGGAAGTTGACAAATGGGAGCTGACAAATGGGAGCTGACAAATGGGTGCTGACACCAGTATAAAGACTGGTAGGGTTGTTGTTGGCTGCAAGCCATGTCAGGATGACACGTTGATGAAAAGTTGATAGTGTTGCGTTGTGGCTGTGAGTTGGTGTTCGGTGGCCCCTGCAACCATAAGCAAGCCCTGCAGTGCAACTGACTGCTTCAACTCTGCAACCAAACAACTAGACCAACTACTCAACTATGCAATGCAAGCAACCAGAACAGCAGCTGCAGTAGCTGCGCAACTTCATTTCAAGTGTGCAATCAACGCAACTAACTTGACGGGCACAGCCACAGCTACCTCCGTAGACGCGCATTGGTAGCCTGTGCACCTGCGCCGCCAACAGTCAAAGGCTTGCAGGCAGACCAAACATGCACACTTGTCCCATTTGCCTCACAGTATCGTGTTGAACAGATCAGGCAGCGTAGTCTGGCAAAGGGGAGCAGCAGGCGTGCTCCTCAAGCGGATCTGCAACTGGGCAATCTCAACATGTGCCTCGCTGTCCCCATGTCATCCTGACATGGCTTGCAGCCAACAACAACCCTACCAGTCTTTATACTTGTGTCAGCACCCATTTGTCAGCTCCCATTTTGTCAGCACCCATTTGTCAGCACCCATTTGTCAGCACCCATTTGTCAGCACCCATTTGTCAGCACCCATTTGTCAGCACCCATTTGTCAGCAC